TGCGGCACGGGTGTACAAAATCACATATCTATTCGTGATTTTGCATTTACGGGTAGGAGGCATGCACGTGTCCTATCCGTGTCGCCTTTCGCGGCCTCGGCTGTCAATCACCAGGTTCCGGCCGGTGATTCCCCGCTGGCACTCGGCGATCTCCGAAGATTTCCAACAGGGGAGAAACCTGTATGTACACAATACAGATCTCTTCCCTATCAGCTCCTGCACACTGCTTTGTATGGCTCTGCATAGCAGAGCCATACAAAGCAGTGTGCTTAGAGTGAAACACACACAGCCGACATAGTAAAACAACACACAGTTAATCCTTTGATCGCCCCAGATGTTAACCCCTTCCTGCCCAGTGCCATTAGTACAGTGTCAGTTCTTTTTATTAGCACTGATCACTGTATTTGTGTCACTGGGGATGTCAGTGACACCAAGTTAGTTCCCCCCGGTGTCAGAATGCCCGCCGCAGTCGCTGATCGCCGCCATTACTAGCAAAAAAAAAAAATCCAGTATCTATACTGCCATTTTGTAAATGCTATAACTTTCACGTAAACCAATTAATTTACATGTATTGGGATTTTTTTTTTTAGCAAAGACATGTAGCAGAATACATTTTAGCCTGAATTTATGATGAAATTTGATTTTTTTACTGGACGCTTTTAATAGCAAAAAGTAAAAAATATAGTTTTTTTTTCCCAAATTGTCTTTTTTTGTTTATAGCACAAAAAAAATAAAATATGCAGAGGCGATCAGATACCAGCAAAAGAAAGCTCTATTTGTGGAAAAAAGGCCATAAATTACATTTGGGTGCAGCATTGCATGACCGTGCAATTGTCAGTTAAAGTAACGCAGCACGTATCACAAACAATGGCCTGGTCAGGAAGGGGGGTAAATCCTCTGGAGGGCAAGTGGTTAAAAACAAACACATCATCTTTTTCCAGAGAAGCTTGAGGTTACCTGTGGGTTTTTCTTTGTATCCTGAACAATTCTTCTGGCAGTTGTGGTTGCAATATTTCTTGGACTATCTGGCCTCGGCTTGGTATCAAGAGATCCCCAAGTACTGACTGGCGTATTCAAGGCTTTGGATATCTTTTTTTATATCCTTTTCCAGCTTTATAAAGTTCTATTACCTTGTTATGCAGGTCTTTTTTTGACAGTTCTTTTCTGCTCCCCATGGCTCAGTATCTAGCCTGCTCAGTGCATCCACATGAGAACTAACAAACTCATTGACTATTTATACACACACACTAATTGCAATTTAACCACTTGCCCTCCTGAGGAATTACCCCCCTTACTGACCAGGCCATTATTTGCTTTACAGCGCTGCTTTAACTGACAATTGCGCGGTCATGCAACGCTGCACCCAAATGAAATTTATGTCCTTTTTTTCCCCATGAATCAAGCTTTCTTTCGGTGGTATTTGATCGCCTGTGCGGTTTTTATTTTTTGCACTATAAAAAAAAGACCAACAATTTTGAGAAAAAAACTATATTTTGGACTTTTTGCTATTAAACATGTCCAGTAAAAAATCTAATTTAGGCCAAAATGTATTCTGCTACATGTCTTTGCTAAACAAAAATCCCAATACGTGTAAATTAATTGGTTTATGTGAAAGTTATAGCATTTACAATTGGCGGTATAGATACTGGAATTTTTTTTTTTTACTAGTAATGGCAGTGATCAGCGACTTATAGCGGGACTGAGGTGGACATTCTGACACTGGGAGAAACTGACTTGGTGTCACTGACATCCCCAGTAACAGCAATACAGTGATCAGTGCTAAAAAAAACACTGACACTTTACTAATGGCACGGGGCAGAAAGGGGTTAACATGAAGGGCGATCAAAGGGTTAACTGTGTGCAGGGAGTGTTTATTGGAGGGCGATGTCTGTGTGCTTCACTGTAAGCACACTGCTATGGATGGCTGTGCTGTGCTGGAGCTGACAGGGAGGAGGACTGTTAGTAAACAAAACAGTCCTCCTCGTTGTCGGAGATGCTTGGTAATCACTGTGTGCCGGCGGGTAATCACCAGCTGGGACCCGGCGATTGACCCCTACCTGAAAATACAAAATCACGTATATATACGGGATTTTGCGCACCCCTGCCGCCCTGTAGCAGTATATCTGCTATAGGGCGGAGGGAAAGCAGTTAAAAAGCCACAGATGTGGAAAATTAACCTTTAATTGTCAATTTAACCTGTGTTAATCTTGTGTGTCTTTACCACGGCCAAACATTCCAGGGTATGTAAACTTTTGATCAGGGTCATTTGGCTGATTTCTGTTATCATTATGATTTTAAAAGGAGCCAAACAACTATATGATAATAAATGGGCTCATATGATAACTGTTTTTGCCTAGGGTAAAATGAATCTAAATGCCTAAGCACAATTTTGCAGCTTTAACATGTGTTAACCACTTCCCGACCGGCCGTTGCATATAAACGGCCGGAGGGTGGCAGTGCAGGGTCGGGTGGCCGTTTATAAACGGCCTCCCCGCACCCTGCTTGTGCGCGCTCCCTGGGACACAGTGAAACACCGATCGTCGGACAAGACCTCTGTACGAGGTCCTGATCATGTGATCACTGATTTTCCAATCAGTGATCACATGCAAAGTAGTAAGCAAGATGTCACTTGTGACATCATTGCTTACTACATGTGAAATCGGTGAATGATCACAGAGGTCACATGGTACAAGCCTATTCACAACAACCTTGTACCATGTGACAAGCCGTGACCAATCACAGCTCACTCAGTACTTCTCAATAAGTGCAAGAATGCAGACAGAGAGAAAGAGAAATGATTGCTTATATGGGTGTAAAAGCAATGTGTGAAAAAAAAAAAAAAAATCTTCATCACCCCCCACAAGTAGTACAGTGTCACCATGGTGACACTGTACTGCTAGGGTGACAGTATGTAAAAAAAATAAATAAATAAAACATAATAATATAAAAAATAAAATAAAAATGTAAAAAAAATGATTAAAAATTATAATTTTTGGTTATAAACTAATTTGGATTTTTTTTTTACTAAAAAGATAACGGAATGCATTTTGGCAAAGATTTATGATGAAATATTATTTATTTGCAAAATTTTATTAAAAAAACACTTTTTTTCAAAATTTTTGGACTTTTTCATTTACATAGCAAAAAAAATTTAAATCCCAGCGGTGAATAAATACCACCAAAATAAAGCTTTATCTGTCTCAAAAAAATGGTAAAAAATTAATTTGGGTACAGTGTTGCATGACCGCGCAATTGTCATTCAAAGTGTGATAGCGCTGAAAGCTGAAAATTGCCCTGGTCAGGAAGGGGGTAAAAGTGTCTGGTCTGGAAGTGGTTAATAAAACCATACATATCATCACAACTACTTTATGCATCCAGGTGGATTATACCTGTGTATTACTGCATTATGGCCACTAGATGGTGTTAAGTTTTATAGGAAATAAGTATGTGACTCAGCTCCCTCTACTGGGTATAATGCAGTATTATAACATTTACACAGCTTTTTTTTTTTTTTTTTTTGTTAATAATTAACATTTGATCTGCAGATAATATAGCCTGAGATTGATTTTGCCTCATTATCGCAAACGTATTTATTTACTTATTTATTTCTTTATTAAAGGTACTTATATAGCGCCATCAATTAAGTTTTATAGGAAATATGTATGCGCCTCAGCTCAATCTAATGGCCATAATGCACTAATAAAAAAATTTACACAGCTTTTTTTTTCCTTTTTTTTTTTTTTTTTTAATAATTAACATTTGATCTACAGAGAATATAGCCTAAGAGTGATTTAGCCTCATTCGTACAAACTGATTTATTTATTAAAGGTACTTAAATAGCGCCATCTATTATGGCCACTAGCTGGTGTTTAGTTTTATAGGAAATACATATGTGCCTCAGCTCCATCTAATGGAGCTAATGTAGTATTATAACATTTACACAGCTTTTTTATTTTAATTTTTTTTTTAACAATTAATATTTGATCTGCAGAGAATATAGCCTGAGACTGGTTTTGCCTCATTCGTACAAACTGATTTATTTATCTATTTAAGGTACTTATATAGCGCCATCAATTATGGCCACTAGATGGTGTTAAATTTTATAGGAAATACGTATGTGCCTCGGCGCCATCTAATGGCCATAATGCAGTATTTTCTCATTTACACATTCAATCTGCAGGGAAAATAACCTGAGAACATTCGCTCATATATATTTTTTTAAAACCTCCTATGACTGTGTGCCAGTGGTGTATTTAGGTTTCGTGCCGCCCTAGGCAACACACAAAACTCAGCCCCCCCCCCCCCCCCCATGGAGAGACCCTGACACTGACAAACACCCCCTCCCCCACGATAAGAGCCTGACATTGACCAACAACACCCCACCCAAGAGAGCCTTCCACTACCACTGCCCCCCATACACTGGCAACCCCCCCTCCCACCCTGATGAGGAGAAGACACTCACCTTCACAGCTCCTGACATCCCTATGAACAAGAGTCAGACTCTGCATACACCATCCAGCAGCCTGCAGCCTCTCTCAGATCCCACCTAGTGCCCATGCTGCGTGTGTCCTTTCTTCCATCCCTTCTTTCGGGGGGTGGTGCTGCCCCCTTGAAAAATGCCGCAGCCCCCCTACAAAAATGCTGCCCTAGGCAAATGCCTTGTTTGCCTTGTGGTAATTATGCCCCTGCTGTGAGCACACTTGAGGCATCCATTACACCATGTAGGACAGCCTATCCTAACCTAGGCAGCACACAAGGATAAGGACATCCATAGGAACTTGTGTGATAGCCATCTGCACCAACTAAACACCAGGATGTAACAGAGAGGCAAGCATTGCTAGATGGACGGACCATGTGACCATGAGTCTAAAAATACAAAACTGTGAGAACGAACGTTCTTGTCCTTCTCCCAGTTACCTAGTAAAGATGTGAGCCAGAAGCCGTGCCAGAATACCGCTGTTCAGAATTCTGAAGTCGGAAGTTAAAAGAAAATGACTTACCAAAGGTTAACTAAAAAGACATGTTCAATTTCCTGCAGGATCTCCAGCTCCCGGAACACATTGCGTACTTCATCCCGCTCAATGCACTGCTGTTTATTCATGTACTTCATGGCGTACATTGTCTCTGTGTCTTTCTTCTGAACAATGCAAACCTAGAATGATATTACAAAGAAAGGGAATGGATTACTCAGCGAACAAATGTTAATTCTTAGATTCAAAGACAAGTGGCAACATATTATGAAGTGTTGTACATCAGCATCTTCCAGGACAAAATGTCTTCTAATAATAGTTAATGGGAGGGAAAGTCAGTATCTGCCAAGGTAGACACCCTAAATCGTATGCCTCCTTTACAAAGGCGGCTGGGGAGTGGTAAAAACAGACAGCTGAGCCACAGTTTAAGGGCTCTTTCACACTCGGGATGGAGTGTGATGACCTCTGAAGAACAATTAGCCTTCAGATCACCTGTCTTGGGGCATTTGACAGGCGGGGAAGAGGTATTAGATCACCTCCTGATTTATTCCCATGATATGGTACTACAACAACGCAATCACAAATTGCAGCGTGGCCGCACAGAACTCAAAGGGAGATTTTGACAGGCAGTGAAGCCCGTCAAATTTTGCACCCTGAGTTGAAAATTCCACAGCCGCAATAATATGTGCAGCCCAGTTATTTTATAGTTCAGATGGGCAGCTGGGGGGAGGGGGTGTTAATCCAAGCCTCATATGACCATTTTTGTAGCCCCATCTGAAAAAGACCTCTGGCTGAGTTTAACATGCGATGCTTCCTGTGACATGGCTCGTTCAATTTGCAGTGCCTGTAGCATGTGAACAGCCTCCTCTGGTTGTATTTAACACTTTAGGTGGGCAGTCGCAGCCAGTAAAACCACGACTCAGCAGCCTGTTTTTACCATTCCCTAGCCACCAGTGTGAAAGAGACCTAAGTCTAAGATCTCTTTCCTTAGCCTCACTGTGTTTGATCTGCCTTTTTCGTTTATTTGGTTTCAGTTCTTTCAACTTGGCGCATCTTGGCGCCAATGCGTGAGAATATACGAGCCGGTCGCACAAAAATGCACCTACATGTCAGTGCACAATGGATATCAGCCTGAGCTCGTCTTTGGGCTTGTGCACGTGCATGAGCAGCTGCAGAAATAATTAGCATTCGCTGTACAAGTTTCCTGACATTAGGCATCATACGTGGCCATTACCTAGGACAGTCTCTATGTAAATGCAGCCCAGCTATAAATGCCTACTTCTGTAAACTAACACAGGATAAATAGCTCTGCAATATTTATATGTCAATGTTTTTATTAAAGGATTATTAATATTATTATTAAATGACCAGTATACCAGTCAGAGGTCGTTGCATAATACAATATTACACTCGGTTCACATTACTGCTACCTGAAAGTCCAGCGACTTACAGTGCGACTTTGCCAGGCAACTTTAGTACTGCTCTAAAGCAACTCTGAAGCACCTTTCAGGGAATACCTGGGTAATCTTCCCGTAATGTCGGATCCAAATCACATCAATATAGATGAGGATCCGACTTGGAGGTGATTTCCATTAAAGTCTATGGGCACAAGTGGGATAGAAGTCGCCTTGAAGTAGTACAGGAACCTTTTCTAATGTCAGAGCGACTTCAGTAGTGCTAATTAAGACAGCTGTCATTGACTAAGGCTAGGTTCACACCTATGCAGGTTGTGTTTGAGCCGTTTCTGCATTGTGTTTTGCGTTGCGTTTTGCACCTATCACAACCCCGGCCCACCAGGGGTCAGGAGCAAAAGGGTATCTGATGACAGAAAACATCTTTGTTTATATCAATACAGAAACTTGGATGGACAGTTGTACAGAGGGGGCAGGGTAGGTGAAAGAAGGGAGAAAAAGGGCAGGGGGAAGGGTAGGTGAAGGTGGGGAGAAGGGAGCAGGGTAGGTGAAGGTGGGGAGAAGGGGGCAGGGTAGGTGAAGGTAGGGAGAAGGGGGCAGGGTAGGTGAAGGTGGGGAGAAGGGGGCAGGGTAGGTGAAGGTGGGGAGAAGGGGGCAGGGTAGATGAAGGTGGGGAGAAGGGGGGCAGGGTAGATGAAGGTGGGGAGAAGGGGGCAGGGTAGGTGAAGGTGGGGAGAAGGGGGCAGGGTAGATGAAGGTGGGGAGAAGGGGGCAGGGTAGATGAAGGTGGGAAGAAGGGGGCAGGGTAGATGAAGGTGGGGAGAAGGGGGCAGGGTAGGTGAAGGTGGAGAGAAGGGGGCAGGGTAGGTGAAGGTGGGAAGAAGGGGGCAGGGTAGGTGAAGGTGGGGAAGGGGGCAGGGTAGATGAAGGTGGGGAGAAGGGGGCAGGGTAGATGAAGGTGGGGAGAAGGGGGCAGGGTAGGTGAAGGTGGGGAGAAGGGGGCAGGGTAGATGAAGGTGGGAAGAAGAGGGCAGGGTAGGTGAAGGTGGGGAGAAGGGGGCAGGGTAGATGAAGGTGGGGAGAAGGGGGCAGGGTAGATGAAGGTGGGGAGAAGGGGGCAGGGTAGATGAAGGTGGGGAGAATGGGGCAGGGGGCAGGGTAGATGAAGGTGGGGAGAAGGGGGCAGGGTAGGTGAAGGTGGGGAGAAGGGGGCAGGGTAGGTGAAGGTGGGGAGAAGGGGGCAGGGTAGGTGACGGTATGGAGAATGGGGCAGGGTAGGTGAAGGTGGGGAGAAGGGGGCAGGGTAGGTGAAGGTGGAGAGAAGGGGGCAGGGTAGGTGAAGGTGGGCAGAAGGGGGCAGGGTAGATGACGGTATGGAGAATGGGGCAGGGTAGGTGAAGGTGGGGAGAAGGGGGCAGGGTAGGTGAAGGTGGAGAGAAGGGGGCAGGGTACGTGAAGGTGGGCAGAAGGGGGCAGGGTAGGTGAAGGTGGAGAGAAGGGGGCAGGGGATTGAGAGGCTTCATAATATTGGTTTTGAGTGGAGAAAAAAGTTTTTTTTCCGTTTTCTCCAGGATTGATAATTCCCAGGTTAGGTTCTGGAGTCCAGATGTTTGACTGCATGCCCTGTGCAGGCCTGTGTTTCCCTTGATCCACAGGTATTGGGTGCAGCCCCGCACTGATACTCTATAGAAATCTATAGGGACATGTGGCTGTACAGACAGAAACGGTTGCTGGTCCCTGAAATCTCCCTGCATGGGGATGCGCAACACCTGTGTATCCCCATGCTGGGAAAACATGAACCTGCATGGGGCACGCAGGCAAGAGCTCTGTGTGAATGGACCCTATGGATGAAATCCCCAATACATCACAATAAGCAGATACATCTAAGCATTACACAGAAAGTATTTTGCCCTAATCTGCAATACTGTAAAGAAAAGTTGCATTTTCTGTTGTCTTCTCTCTACCAGCAGTTTTCTGCTAGAGAAGGAAAAAAAAAAACACAATTTAAAAAAAAATCCTGAATATGAATGAGTAGCACTCAAGGAAGGAGCCATCATCCATCTCTGGAGGTGCTCATGAAGAATGTCCTTCCAGAAATATCATTCCTACAGACTGTTGTGCTCAAAAAATGGAGAAGGTTAGTTACTGCATAGAAAAAAACATTCATTATTACACACTGACAGATACTTAATATGAGTTTTACCATGCAAGCCAGCCATAAAACATTCTGTCAGTAAATTAATTGGAAAGGGAGCAAAGGTCCAAGGTGCCCCGGCTTCCGTTGCACCTGCATATGCATTCAGGGGGTGAGAAAGGGGATCTCTAGCCTGAAGCTGTTGGTATTGAGTAACCTGAGTGACTTATGATGATGAGCTATACTTACTGAAGTAGAAAACATCATTATACATTCAATTACCAAAAACATGAACAGGAAGAATGCAAGAACAAGCAGACACAGGAGTGTGTTTATAGAGGAAAAAAACAATTCTTCCTGTGTGCATTCGTTCTGCGTGAAGGGGGGCAATAACAAATGTTATTAAGCTATTTTCTCTCCATCTCCAAAACCTTCATTCGTACAGAACAGAGTGAATCAGGAAAATACAGTATTGTGGCCACTGGATGGAGCTGATGATCATAGGAAATATATATTTATTTCCTATGATCATCAGCTCTAGCTAGTGGCCAAATGCGGTATTTTCCTGATTTTATTCAACAAAGAACATTCAACCTGGAGAGAAAATAGCCAAACATTTGATTTTGCTCCCATTCACACAATTGTTTTTATAACTACACTCCAAAGGGTGACCTACCAGCAGAGACGATGCTTAGTTCTTGGTGCTTCATATAAGTGCACGCCATTCTACCTACAATAGGAACACACAGGGCACCTTAAGTACACTGCTCAAATTAAGGCTCCATGCACACGGGGTGTTTTAATAACGCTGGTAACGTTAGCTGTGTAAAGTCACATTAAAAACGTGATTTATTTTCCAGCATTTTTATCGTTTTTGCATTAGCATTTAGCTGCGTTTTTTTTTTTACCAAAAAGTATATTTTTTTTTGTTTGCTCAAAAAAACATCCAAAAACACTGGTTTGCCATGAGTTACTGCTTTTTACCACGTTTTGCAGCATTAGAGCATTTTTACAGCTAAAAAACTCCTCTAGAAACTCACTAGTTCAGTTTTTTTTTCCAGCCAAAAAACACCCCTGCCAAAAAATGCTGATTACAGTCTATGTGAACATGGACACATGGGATGACATGCTGGGGGGGTTTACTGGCTGTAGAAAAAAACCTCAAAAGCCAAAAACAGCCACTGTAAAAATATTCAGTGTGCATGAGGACTAAGCCCCCGTTCACATCAAGCCCACCTTTAAAATCATGCGACTTACAGTGAAATCACACAATTTCAAAGTTGGGGAACCCACCGTTTTCAGGTGCGATTTGCAAGACAGCTGATACAGATTTCTATGCAAATCTCACTAAAAGTAGTGCATGTACTACATTTGAAATTGGTGCGGCTCCGACTAAGTCAGAACTGCACCGATACGACCGCTCCAATTCTGGACAATAGAGTGCGACTTCGCATGCAATTTGCAAGTCGCAGGGTATGCAAATTGTATGCCAAGTCGCACCGATGTGAACTGGGTGTAAAGGAACACTTTTTAATCAGAGTATAGCATCAAGTCAATGAAACTCCTGGGGTATTGATCTGGTCAGTTAAGTAGCAGAGGGGGTTGTTAATCAGTTTCAGCTGCTTTGGTGTTAATGAAATTAACAACAGGTGCACTAGATGGGCAACAATGAGACGACCCCCAAAACAGGAATGGTTTTACAGGCCACTGACATGTTTTTCCCTATTCATCTTTTCTGACTGTTTTT